TAAAAGATTAAAGGAAGTAATAAATATCAATTATTTTATTAATTAATAATTAATAATTATAATTAATTATAATTTTTATAAATTAAATTAATATTTTTAAAGATAATATTTTATAGTTTTAAAAGTCATTACATAATTAGTGGCATAACGTGCGCCTACGCTTGCTACAAGTATCTAAAGAAGATGACATTTTAGAACTCAAAGATTGTGAAGGCATCGACGAGTGTTCGGCTGTCCTATGATTTTATTTTTTGTTTATTGTAAAATTATAATATAAAACACTAATAATTAAATTTATTAAAATATATAAAATATTAATTATAATTAATTATTTTTAATAAATTTACATTTTTAGATAGAATATTTCTACAAAAATAAATGTTGTATAAAACATATGCATAATGTCAAAATCTAATTTTAAACAATGTTATCTAAAACTCACTATCAATATCAAAGACTGACAGATACATAAAATGATTGTTAATTTGTAGGAATTTTAACTTTGGACTAATAAGCATTTCAACTCTAACTTTTAATTTGTTTCCTTTTTCTCAAAAAAAAAAAACGTTTCACTTTTAATTTATTAATAACTTAAGAGATTTGTTTTCAAAAAGGAAAACACTTCATTTTTAATTTTTTACCCTTTAAAAATAGACAAAGTGCTATTAATTATTTAAGCTTTTTAATGGTAATTGCACATACTTCTATGGAGTCAGAGAGCACGTATAGGCACTCAACATGCGAATTTTTAAATATTAATTTAATTTAATTTAATAATTAAAAATTATTACTAATAATAATTATTTAAATACTATAACTAATTGTTTTAAAAAAAAAATTGGGTAACTTTGAACACTTCCAATCTAAAGCGCATGCCTCTATGTATTTCAGTTTCAGACTGCACAACATCCCATTGCCTATTTTCAAAAAAAAAAAAGAAAAAAGAAAAGAGAAGACTGCACAACATTATAACGTAGTATGTAGATTTAAGGATGGGTAAAAAGTTCAGGCGCTGGGTTGGACGCAAAACAATGTTTCATAATAATTAAAGAATAATATAATTTCAAAAATAAGAATTATGTAAGTGTGAATTTTAATATAAAATTTATGTTTAATTTAAAATTAATTAATAATAAATAAAATAATATTTTTTTTATTTAATTTATATTTTTTGATTATATACTTGACATACAATTTTTCTAATACACTTCTTACATGGATCGGGTCTTTTTGGTTTAATACTTAGTCTTCGGACCCTCTAACATCCATCGTCCAGTTCCAGTGCTCTTCTTGTCTTTTAGTAGTGCCGTTGCTTCGCTTGGAACTTTAGCGTGATTCTGAAAATGATCTTGCCTTTTTTTTTTTTTTCTAATTTGGTTTCAGGAGAGGGGAAAGATCCTAATGGAGTTCGCAAATTTAATTGAAGAACATGCAGAGGAATTAGCTGCATTGGACACTGTAGACGCCGGAAAGCTGTTTGCTGGTGGCAAGGCTACTGATATTCCTCATGTAATCGATATTATCCGCTATTATGCTGGTGCAGCCGATAAAGTTCATGGAGAAGTGTTAAAAATGTCAGGAAAGTTCCAGGCTTACACTCTTCGGGAGCCCATTGGCGTCGTTGGACTCATAATCCCCTGGAATTTTCCCTGCACCCTTCTTTCCCTGAAGACTAGTCCGGCATTGGCAGCCGGATGCACTATGGTTGTCAAGCCAGCCGAGCAAACTCCTCTTTCTGCCCTTTATTATGCACATCTTGCAAAACTGGTGAGCACGAAAATCAACCCAAATTTGTTTCAGTATGTTTCTTCATAAATGTTTTTTTTTTATACTTATAGAGACTAGAGGTTTTAACTATAAATTTGTAACTAAATATATAAGTAATTTTATCCTTAAACTACACATAACTGATGGTTTCTTCATAAATGTGTTTTTAGTCTAGTTTGTGCAGTCTAGACTGTGCTATTAATTAAATTCCTCTCCGTGTTATTCCCAGTGTTAATTCATAAAGGGTTCTCTAAAAGAAGTACGTAAACTGAATAGCATTTTTATCGTGCAATCCGTGCAACCTGGAATGAAAAAAAGGGACTATATTTATTTTCCTAATTAATATGTTCCTTTTTCCTTTTCGTTGTTTTCTGAGCAGGCTGGAGTCCCAGATGGAGTGCTGAATGTTATAACTGGATATGGAGAGACTGCCGGTGCTGCAATTAGCTCTCATATGGACATTGATAAAGTAGTATCCAATTTCTACAGCTACATTTGCCTCTTGGATTAAGGGTTTATTTCTCTGATATTGGACTTTCATTGCAGTTGAGATTCACAGGGTCAACAGAGGTTGGACGCAAAGTTATGCAGGCTGCTGCTGCAAGCAATCTGAAACCTGTGTCACTTGAGTTAGGAGGCAAATCACCTCTCTTAATTTTTGATGATGCTGATGTAAATACAGCATCCAGCCTTGCTCTTAGTGGAGTGCTGTATAACAAGGTTGTGTGATTCAATTTTATCATGTCTGATTAGGCAAATCTAGGAATACTAGGTTGCTAATGAATTTTTATTTTCTTAATGAATATAGGGAGAAATTTGCGTGGCGAGTTCTCGTGTTTATGTTCAGGAAGGTATATATGATGAATTTGTAAAGCAGTTGGTAGAGAAGGCAAAATCCTGGGTTGTAGGGGATCCCTTTGATCCTAAAGTGTGTCAAGGACCCCAAGTAAGTATATCAATATTATCACGAACTGTGTCTCTCTTATAGTTCTAAACTACTTAAATGTAGTAATTTTGTTTTGGGGCACAAGGTATGCATGTTTGAATTCAATTCTAGTATAAAGTGCTTAATGGAAGTTCTACTACTCCTTCGATGTAGGTTGATAAGAAGCAGTTTGAGAAAATCCTGTACTACATTGAACAAGGAAAAAGGGAGGGAGCTACCTTGTTGACTGGGGGCAAGGCTTTCAGCAACAAGGGACTCTATATTGAGCCAACAATATTTGTAGATGTTAAGGTAAAGAGCCCAGAGACTTCTAAGAAATGCCAAGGAATGTTAAGGGTTTGGTTTTAAATCTTATTCTGATCAAATCTTAAACACATCCACAGGATGACATGCTCATAGCACAAGATGAGATTTTTGGACCCGTTTTCTCATTAATGAAGTTCAAGTAAGTACATTTCTTTGATGAGTTTCATGTGCTGGCATGACAAATAACCAATACTTGATGGAACAGCTAAACAACCATGGTAATTTCAGGACAATTGATGAAGCAATCAAGAGGGCAAACAACACCAGGTATGGCCTAGCAGCAGGTGTTGTGACTAAAGACTTTAATGTGGCTAATACTGTTTCAAGATCGATCCGTGCTGGTACCATATGGATCAATTGTTATTTTGGGTTTGATGTGGGCTGCCCCTTTGGAGGATACAAAATGAGTGGGTTTGGACGAGACTATGGGTTGGAAGCACTTTACGAGTACTTCCATATCAAGTCCGTTGTGACACCCATTTATAACTCCCCTTGGCTCTAAGTGTTCAACCCAAGATTTTAGCATCTTTGTTCTTGCTTTTATAAAGTGCTTAGAAGCATGAATTTGAATAATACCTGAATGTGGGCCTGTGATAAACAGTTTGTTATGTAAACTTAAAATATATGAATCTATAAGGTATTTGTTTATTTTACCATCATATATATATAGAGGTATTTGTTTATTTTATAACAGTGCTATAAGATATGGCAAACCGTACGTTGTGCACCCCCTAAATACAGGATGGGCTAGTTTTACAATTCAAGACTTGACATGTAGAACTGCGAACTCAAAATTTTTGAGAATATAACTGTAGAGAACATTGTAGTGTTGTCTCTTCTGTGTGGACTATATTACTTTTAATTATTAATTAATAGAGATTATGCCTCAAATATTAGATAATATACTCTTTTAATCAATAATTGACTATGAGGTTCAAAAGATCAATGAATGGGCTGAAAAACTAAATTGCTTAGTGGGTGTGATGCCATTTAAGTATTTGGGGATTCTAGTTGGTGCTAACTCGAGGAGGATATCTACTTGGATGCTTGTAATTGATTGCTTGAGAAGGAAATTGTCAGGCTAAAAAAGTGAATCATTCTCTTGAATGTTGTGCTATCAAGTATCCCAAAATACTTTTTTCTCAACCTTAAGAGCCCTTAAAATGGTCTTGAAACTTCTTTCCTTAATCCAAAGGAGATTTTGCGAGGAGGTAGTGAAAACAAGAGGACAATAGCGTGGGTTAGGTGGGATCAAGTTTGTAGAAGTAGGAAGATGGGAGGGTTGGCTGTTAAGGATCTAAATAGTTTCAATTTGGTATTGTTAAGGAAGTGGCGTTTTAAGCTATAGTGGGATAGGGATGCTTAATGGAACCGGGTAGTGGAAGCTAAGTATAGTGTTCATAAAAATAGGGACTATGAGGGTAAGGAAGTGAAAGCAAGTAGTTTCAAGTGGTGGAAGGCAATATGGAAATTAGATAGGGAGGTAGCATCTAAAGAAGGTTGGTTACAAAGGGAATTGGAAAAGGTTACAAGGAGGGGGAATGACACATTATTTTGGCATGACAAATGGTGGGGGGAGGTTTCTTTTAAGGAGAAATTTAATAGATTATTTAGATTGACAGAGAATAAGGAGATGTTAGTGAAAGATATGGGGGAATGGAGGGAGGGACAGTGGGTGTGGAAGTGGAGATGACATAGGGACTTACGAGAATGAGAACAAACTATTTTGTAGGAACTTAATAAGATGTTGAGAAAGAAAAATTTGAAACAAGGGCTGCATGACCAATGGAGATGGAAACATGATCCAGGGGGCAACTACTTGACAAAGTCAGCTTACAACATATTGAATAGTGACATAAGGGAACTACGTTGGTTGCAATGTAAATTGCTGTGGAATAACAATCTACCATTAAAAGTTTCTGCTTTTGCGTGGAAAGCCCTTCAAAACAAAATACCTACGGGTGATAATTTGATTAAGAGAGGAATCTTAGGAATAAGCTCTAACTTTTCATGCATATTTTGTGGACATAATTTGGAAACTGTTAGTCATCTTTTCCTCACATGTGAGACTAGTTGGATGATTTGGTAGTCTTGCTAAGAGTGGTGGGGCCTCCAATCTATCTCAACAAATGAAGGATGGGGCCATTTGTAGCAACACTTGGGCATGATTTCCAATGGCAGTTCAAAGAAAGCGTGGCGCATGATCTAGTTCATTGTCTTGTGGAGAAACCAATTAATCTTTAAAGATAAGTTTGATTTTATCGATAATATTAGGAACTTAATTAAACTGAGGTCTGTTGATTAGATAAGGGCTAAGTTTGGCAGAGAGTTGTCTAAGGATGTCTGGATGCAGGACCCTATGGAAGCATGTAAAAATAGGGAGATTGATTGAAATAGGGTTTTAGGTGAGGTTGGGATTGAGAGTAATTCTATTGTTACATAGTTTTTGTGATAATGTAATGAGTTGAGTACTCTTTATACTCCTTTAACATAAAATTATTTTATTGGTTGAACAAAAATTAAGTGAAATATATCATGTCATTTATTTTTCTAATGACTAAATAAGGTAAAATTTTTAGAGAAATTTTCAACATACAAATTTTAAAGTTAAGAAAGTCTATATATATTATCATTTCATACTCCTTTCATTCACTTTTAGTTAATTTAATTTGACTTTTGACTTTTAAGATATAAATTTTAAATATAAATATAATAATATATAAACAACAATTAAAAATTATTTTTGACTAATAAAAAGACTTAATAAGATTTATATATAAAGACAAAAAAATTTTAATTATTATTTATATAAATTATTAAATTTTTATTTAAAATTTATACTTTAAAAGTTAAAAAATTAAATTAAACTTACTAAAAATAAATAGAAGAAGTATATTTTCGAAATCTAATTTTTTTCATCCAATTCATGTGTCCCTAGATACAACAACAAGCTTGGATTTGTGCAGCACCACAAGTTCTCAGTCCAGCGCCATCACTCCTGGATTTCTACTCATCATTTTCACAATGAAAAGAAAATTCTAGAAATTGAAGATTGGAATTAGAGAAGATGAAAATATTACAGTGTTTATACAGAATGCTCAGGATCTGGAAAGTTCCTACCGCCTTTTGTTTACGTTCCGGTAAGCGTGGAAATTTTGATGACATGGCGGCTTTTTATTGGCTGGATATGATACTAGGTTCCCCGATTCAAGTATTGAGCACGTA